CCTCCTTTTCCTGTGGCAGGTTAGGGTGTCATGTGTTGTGTCAGGATTGACCGTGTAGTTTTGCTAAGAGGTTAGACAATGCATTTGTACAGGATGGTTTGGATAGGGATGATCCTGCCTCAGGTAGAGGATTGGACTAGATGACTTAGGGAGGTTCCTTCACGCCCTACATCTCTAAGATGCTAACTTACAGAAGCAAAGACACTGCTTGAGAACGCAGACATCAGTGAGAAGCATTTAACTCCTATGATCACTTTTTTGAGAGCAGACTGGGAGTAGAGACTCTGAACTCCACTCACACTACTGCACTGTGTTTAAATCCTTTCTAGAAGAAGGGATCCTATGACCCCTGCTGACTTCCTGCCTCTGGGGGCAGGGGGCTGGACTCTATGATCTTCTGAGGTCCCTTTCAGCCCTAATGTCTATGAAGTCTATGAAATAACACTTCCTGTTCCTGCCTCTGTATCTGGACAACAGCCTGATCAGATCAGGCTCTGAAGGAACAAGTCACTGCTGACTGTACCAGCCTGCTCAGACAATCAGCAACCAAGGCCTCCATGCGGTTGTAAGAAGGAAGTGGGTGTCATCAACTTTCCTGAGCTACAGTTTCCCTTTTGAAACCCTGCCTCTGATGCTGTTGGCAACTGGGAAGGGTGCCAACTGAAGCTATGCAGAGACTGGCAAAGAAGGGGATGAAAGAGAAGTTTTCCAAACAGGATAGATAGACAGTGTTTCTGTATTTACGTATGCAATTTTACAACTATGTCTAAAGAGCCCACTTAGTATTTCTTAATATGGTCTACTCTATTTTTCTTGAAGAGAAAAGAGTCCATAGAAAGAAAGCAGCTCCCAAACCACCCACCCGTGACACACACATTTGCAACCACTGCCACAGATCATGCAAATCTTGGACTGGATTATTCAGTCACCCAAGACACTGCACACCATCTATGTCATAGGCTGCAATATCTACCATCTCTAACAGACAAAAGGATGTCAACACTATTCTGTCTGTTCCTTAAATATGATTAGTAGGTTTTCTTGGGCAAGTTTACATCCTGGAAACAAATGCAGATTAAAAAAAAAAAGGTTTGTTGAAAAACTTGTGGAAAAGATTAGGTGACCAGGTATGTACTTTGTCAGTCTGCAATTGTGTGTCTGGGGTGGGTGGGTGGAGGCTTCTGGCTACACCTTAGGCTGAGTGAACAGCAGAAGCCTGTCTACTCGCTAACATCTTCCTTATACTACATTGCCATGCAGCTTGGGAGACAAAGTCAATGAAAATCCAGGCATCAACCAACCAAATGGTGTTAGAATTTATTCATATCAGTTGGCTAATAGAGTTCTGACCTGTGTGGTTACGTCAGTTTTTCAGTGTCCTCTTTACCCATTGGTGAGACTCTTCCTTTCCTAATTCCTCACTGAATTGTGCAAGTTAACCTTTGGGACAGGGGTATCAAACTCATCTGGTGCCCTGGGACAGATGCAGATCACAGGGCTCCTACCAAGCCAGATCCAACTTAGGTCATGAAGGTTGCCACAGTGGCTACCACAGTGGCAGGCGCACAGTTTTTTGTGGGGGAGGGAACAGAGGCGGTTCAGGGTCCAGCAGTAATGCGGGGTTGGGGTGATGCAGGGTCCAGTGGCAGCAGAGGGGACAGAGGTGGTACAGGGTCCAGAAATGGCAGAAGGCAGGGATGCCAGAGGGTCTGGCAGCAGTAACAGCATGGGGTAGGGCAGGGTCTGGTGGTGGTGAGCCAGGCTTGCTGACAACTGCCATGTGCCACAGGGTCCAAGTTCTAGTGCCTTCTTATAGCCCAGTGGACCAGATAAAAGGGCTCCATAGGTTGAATCTGGCCCATGGCCCTTCTTTAGGATATTAACTATTTACTGGGGATATCTATTATTATCTTTAATAACAGAAGTTTGGGTGTATAACCTAGTGGGCCTGGAGTCTTCAGGTGTCAGGGAGCCAGCTGAGTACATGCTCACAGACCTCAGAAGGGAGCCATGGCAGTCAGCAGCTGGGATTTGTAAAGAGAGGGCAGACAGTCAGAGTAAGAGGAACAGGGAAGCAAGAGATGGAAGGGACCTGTCTCTCTCATAAGGGGAGAGGGAAAGGAATAGCACCAGAGATCACTTTACTTGTTCAGCAGTTTCATATTCTAAAGGTTAAACCAATCTGGATTTTAAAAAAACAAACCTCTTCCTGTCCTTCACCCAGGGTGGAGTCTGCAGTGAGAGAGAACAAACCACTGAAAGGTCTTTTAAAATACCATTGACCTTAAAGATCACTTTTTTCCACTTATTTGTTCACAGGCATTTCAAACTGACCTAAATACAGAGTTGGATTGTTGTAGCTGTGATAGCCCAAGAAATATGCAAGAAGCAAGGTTGTTTTGGTGATATCTTTTATTGAACCAACTATGTACTGTAGTTGGAAGAGATGTTGAACAAGCTTTCAGGCCTGAAGTGTTTTTTCTTGAAACTGTCCTGAAAAAGGGCACTTTGTGCCTGAAAGCTTGTCTAACATCTCTCCCAACTATACAGTTGGTCCCCCCCAAAATCCCCCTGCTTCTCTAAATACAGACAGGGAATTTTCTAGAGAAGGTGGGAACAGTCAAGTTGAAATAGGTGTATGTTCCACTCCAGGCTGGCAGACCTTTGATCAAGTCTCTTAATATACTAGTTCTGTCACTCAGGGCCTGAATACATGACATGTTAACATGGATATAATGTAAATCAGTTAAATACACAACTCTAAATTACATCAGAATCCAGAGAAGACAGACAGCTGATTATACTGGAGTAGCTGTCATAATACTTCATTAGGTGACAGGGGACCTGCAATAGTTTTGTTTGCACTCAGCAATGTTACCTTGGAATAACTATACATGTATGTCACCTACATCAGTGTTTTTACTGGTGCTTCCTCCCCCCAAGTAATTCTGTACTGAGTTCCAGTAAGTCACACCAGTAAAGAGGTTTATGTTCTATGTTCACTCTTCATGTTCAGACCTGTGTGATGGGTACATGTGTAATGGGTTCAGGCCCTAATATTTTTAATTTTACTGTTTCCAACTAGTTGCATGAAAAGAAAATTTTAGACCTGTTTGTAAAGTCATTAGAGCATAGTTGCAAAGCTATGAATGGATGTTGCACCTGTCCTTGGATAAGCTGTGCTTGGGTTTGTCCCAGAACAAAATATCCTGGAACTGCCAAGTGCACACATCACCCTTCTAATTAGGTTTAGTGAGTGGCTGAATGTAGTTCTGCTTTTCTGCTACTAATTTACTGATGCAATCCTGAGACAGCTGTACAGATGTCCTTTGCAGTATCCCAGGACAGATGGCCAGTACTTCTTACCTGTGAAACTTTTTTAGGATTTAACTGAGGACAACAGACATAGATGTCTGTACAACTGCACTTTGCTCCAGGATAAAATGGTTTATCCCAGGATAAATGCACCATCTGTTTGTAGCCCAAGAGACTTATCTAATTGTAGCCTTGCTTTGCTCTGCAGAAGTAACAGAAAAAAGACAAAGGCAATAATCCTTACTCAAGAGGTTACTCAACTGCAGTTATTAGCAAAGAATTGCATCCTGCCCAAAAGCTTGGTAAACCCCAACTTACAACGGGGTCCTGCCTCACTTGTTCTGAAAAGATGGCAGTGATGGGCTTGGCTTCCATCAGCAACCATCTTGCTAGACACATTCTGAGGTACAGTATTTATGTTTTGGCTTATCCTTAAAATAATTCAGTTGTATATGAAGCATGCGTCAGACCAACCACAGTCAACACCCAGCACTGTAGAAAAACCCAAATGCATGCCCTTGGTTGAGAAAAACACATCAAGGTATTTCATTGTGCTTTCTAACATTGCTCAAAAGATAAATGTAGAGAGAGATGAAACAGTGCTATCAAGGAAACACAGAGCTTGGCAGGTATCATACAGAGGGAAAACAGAGGGACTGGCAACAAAGATCCATTTAGGTGGGAAACCTTTTAAAATATTGTTGTAAAGTATCCCAGGGCATTTTCCATTGAAGCAGTGATGCTCAGATGTGCTGCGTAGCATATTTCTGCTCAACAAAATGTGCCATTTCAGAGACATTACCCAATGTCAGTCCAGGCTCCCCTAGTCCCAGGCACTCCTAGCCCAAGAAACCAGAGTTGAATACGGTCAGTTTTTGTTCTTTAAGATGAGTTACCCACATGAGCCTGCACTCTTGACTAAGAAAATAAAGAAATAAAAAATCCTAGGTCATGGCATCCAAACTCAGAAAAAACAAGGCTCTGTTGAAATCATAGACCCAGAGGAGCATAGGGCTGGCAGGAGCCTCCACAGACCTAGTGCAGTGGTTCTCAACCTTTATGTACCAGGACCCATTTTTAATCGCAATGGCCAGTTCTCACCCAGCGTCCTTCATTCCCAACCCGCTGTCCCCCAGCCCCTGTGGGTGGGGCAAAGGGGTGCCCCAAGCAGCCCCCAGGCTGAAGCTCTCCCAGCCTGCAAGGGAAGAGCTGCAGTTTACTGTGTTTTTCTCCTTTAAAGGAGAATCCATTTTTAAAGTTTGTTTGTGGCCCTTCCACATATTCTTGCGACCCATGAGTTGAGAAATACTGCTCTAGCCCACCCTCTGGCCCAGGCAGGATCATCCCTATCCAAACCATACTTTGCTAACCCACTGTCTAACCTTTTGACTCCCCTGGACAGACTCGCAGTGTCCCTTAGAAAACATCAGCTCTCAATTTCCCCTACCAAACACTCCCAGCGCTGTTTTCATCCTGCAAGGAGCGCCAAAAGCCCCCCGCAGTGCTTTCCGCTTGAAACCTCTGGACTCAGCAGGTGAGCCAGGCTTTGGCTTTTTTTTGTGCGGGGAGGGACGGACCTCGGGGCAGCCGGGCCGGCTCGGACACACGGCGGAGCCCGGAACAAGCGTCTGTTTGGCTGGGGCAGGGAGGACGCGAGGGGCTGCCCGGCCGGGGGCGGCTCTTACCGGCTGCGAGCAGGTGAAGGGCGGCGCGGAGTCGAGCAGCA